CATGCATATGCATACAGTGTTCTATGAGAAAGATATTGTCGCCACAGCAACTGAATGTACATGGAACATTGGTTTTTTCGTCCACCCTGAATGACTAGACTTTGTTTCTGGCCAGTTCCTCCGTCCTGACAAGGAGAACCAGTGCCAGAAAAACCTGAGGAACTTTATCAGCCAACACTAGGTTCGAAAAAGGACCTCCATGTTAGCTAGCCAGGGTCTTTCTAATTGAGCCTTCGTAGATTAAGGCAATGGATGAACAATTATTATTGAATCAATACAGATTGTATTTTTTCAAAGGTTTATTATAATATATAGTAAATATAATTAGGAAGGTAAATATAGAAAGTTGTCATTGGCTACCTGGATAATAGAATATATGATGATTATATTTGAACAGGGAATGACATGATAAGAACAATCTCGATGTGTATATTAGGCTCTTTACAGTTGATGAACAGCCAAAAATAGGGGTAATTTGACACGGCTTATAGTAGCTAAATCTCTAATTCAATATTAACCATAATCTTCGACATTCAAAACATGAATTAAGAGTTTAATATTGGTCAATGTTATGATGTTACCGTGAGAATAGTATGGATTTCTGATATCAAATATAATGAACATCTTAAAATTAGTTTCTCTTGTAATGAGGCAATATGATGAACTTTAAAACGTCAGTTCGGAAGTGAAATGTCAAGCCAAACTACCGATATTATTAGGACTAACCAAGTTGCAAACAAATGTTATTCAATCTGGACGGCTCAACTAAATCATCAAACATTTAAGGTTCCAAAGAATAAAGATTTAACTCCTGTTAGACGCTTTCACAAATTTGGTTTTATAAAAAAAATGGTATTAATGTCCAGATCTTGTTTTCATTGTCACTTTGATATCTGTTTATTGATCTTACAGTAAAATAAATTGATTTGTTTATTGATCTTACAGTCAAATAAATTGATTTGTTTATTGCATGGACGTATGGGAACTTTGCAGTTTAATTGGGGCTGATTTGCAAGAAATTGTTCAAATAAAAATATAAGTACCAATTCCGTACACCCTTATTGATGATTGATTTAAATGTGAATGTAATTATTAGATATACATGTACGTGGATCTTGGTATTTCTAATTAACCCTATATGTCTGTGTGGTGTTATTTCATGAAATTAATCAATTTTGGGGTATTATGTAAGAATTGAATGAAATAATTTACAAATAGATAACAAATACATGTATGGTATTACGGTACATGTTCTATAATAGCTATTGTTGATGGTAGAATGTAGAAATATACCAAACCCATTTAATCCAAATGTTATTTATATGATGAATTTCTTACAATATAGGGGTATGTCTTTTAAGTGGTTTTAACGGGTACAAAAATGGATGACATGGGTAATTCGTCTCTACTTAAAAACAAGTATAAACACCTCCCTCTTGATTCACTAGGGCTTGATAACCTTAAAGGTCAAAGGTGAAGATTTTAAGGACAGGCAGGTACAGCTTATCTGGTGTCACACTAAGACGAAGTTGTTGAGTTTTATCTTATTTTCGCAATGTTTAGATGTCCTTTTGCTTCGCATCAATGAAGGGATTATCAAATTAGGTACATTTTGTTTTTAAGAAGTTCATTGCGGGCATTAATCCCAGTTTATAGCCTATATTTAGAATTTCACTTCATATGTAGAAATCTTTCATTCAGGTACATTGTATCTGTGAAGATGTTTTTGGTTTGGTGAGATTTTATCGTTAGTTCATCAAGGACACTAAATCCTGTTTTGATTGTGTTTCAGAATTCCGCTCATACAAGAACATGTACGGTGTACATTTACATGTAGCAATGAACTGTCCTATACACAACTTTCAGCAAGGTTTCCCTTTGTCATTAGTACAGGATGAAGGGCCTGACAAGGACAGCATCTAGTTTTTTGGATGGGACAAAAAACTGAGGTCCTGTGTACAAGTTAGCATGCACGTTAAAGAACCCTTGACAGTTCGAATTTCAAAATAATAGCAGCCTGTAGCGTCACTGAGGGGGTTGAAATGTTTCTTATCCCACTATATTATATAAAGCATACACTCATCTCCTTTAACCCATTCGGTGTAGAGGGGATCACGGTGGCTAAGTCGGTAAAAGGCTGGCGTGGTTCTCCCTTGTCAATGATGCAGGATGGAGGGCCTGACAAGGACAGCTGTCTAGTCGTTCGGATGGGACGAAAAACCGGCAGTTGGAATTCGATATAAGAGTAGGCCGTAGTGCCGCTGTCCGAGCAAAATTTCCCTAATAGCACATTATATGGCATATGCCCCTCTTCATTAGCCCAGTTCGGAGCAGAACAGTAGGACGTTAAACCCTATTTCATTTCATTTCATTTCCATTCGGTGTAGAAAAATAGGACGTTAAACCCAATTGCATTATATTTCATACACACAACCCAGGATTTGGCAAAATCCAGCCAGAGACCATAAAATGACCTTCATAGGCTTCATCAACTGTCATTAATAATTACTGGATATAGTCATTTACAACTATGATACCCAGTATCTGATACCATTTTACTCACAAGAATTTTGTGTCAGGAATAATTTCTGGAAACATTCATTTACATTTAACTATATGATATTTGATACCATTTCTCTTTCTTTTCTTACAAATATTTCAACATTGTGACCTTATCAAAGAAAGTTTTTGACCATGTGTTATATAGTAATGACTACAGTAGCAAGGGGATGTTGACAGCATTAGAATCTGAATATGTTGACAGAAGTAAAGATTGTTCTGAAACTCAATTTGAGTACTGGTGACTTTTTGATCTGATCAAAGAAAGTTTGTTTTTGATAGTGATCTATGACCATGTGTGACATGTATATTGTATATTATACATTAATGGCTACAATAGCAAGAAAGGAATCACCACATTGGATTGGTTTTGTATGAGGGGTTCTTTAATGTGCATGCCAATGTGTACACTGGACCTTGGTTTTCCATCCCATCATTGAGTCAAGTGGCGAGGTTTTGATTCCCCGCTTGTGGGTTTTCTCTGGGTCGTGCAGTTTCCTTCCACTGCTAAAGACCCTTTGTGCTGGGAAACCTGTTAGGAAAATCATGAGAAACTTTCTTGAACAACACCAGGGTTTAACCCAATACTTCATGAATCATAGTTGGTGAGCCAAACACAGCTATAAATAAAAGATTTTTCACTGGAAAAATTCTAGTCAGTGTTTTTTTGTTTATTGATAATATAAGTAATACATGTAGCATATAATTATCCATTATCCACGAGATAGTTACATGTAAACTTGAGAATTTCAAAGTTGTTGAAGTTGGACTTGTAATAGTAGTTTGATACTGGACCAGTTCCATAATCATTGTGCCACATTTTCCTTTTGAACAGAAAATCACACAGCTGTAAAACAGCTTTTTTAAGTGGTACATTTTCTATTCAGTGTTCTTGAGTATCAATGATATACATGTACAGTGTAATATACATGTAATATTTGATTATCCAGAAAACATTTAAAATTGCTGAAATATGATTGGTAACTGCAGTTATAAGGATCTGTTTGATGTACTGGTTGTGCATGTGTTAATACATGCCACATGTTTTGTTTTTATGTACAGATGTCTTAGTCAGTATTGTCAGACATGTTACACATGGAGACCAAAATCTATGTTGAAAATGTCAGCGGAATTTTAACAGATTTGTTACACATGTTGCACATCTTTCTGCTAATTAAAGTCCTACATGTCTTTTTTGTCGGCTATTTGATTATTTTTTTTTTTTTTTTTAAAAAGATGTGTTGTGCTCACACAAATATTTGGATATTCTGTCTATTCAAACAGATATCTTGGTATTTGTTATTTGTTATTTGATGTCAGCTAAATCTCTGTCTATTGCAGGTCTTTCTTTTTGCCTCAAATGTTATATAAATTATTAATTAGACATTTATTCATATTTCAGAGCCGTAATTAACTCTCTAGACAGTCGGATGGCCATGATTTTTAATGGATCATTGAAACATGATCACCATTTAAAAATTTACGTCAAAAATGAATAATGGAGACTTTGTTTTATTAGCGTAGCAATGGCCACAGGACATACAAGTACTTGACAACCAAGACTATATAGTTAAGACTTCAAACTTCAGCAAGTGGGGTTTTACATAGGCTAAGCCTGTTCCCTAATCCTATTCAGACAAACGGAATATAAATATTGTTTATAAAAAAAGACTTCACAGTTTGCTCAGAATAACATAATTTGACTGTAATTTTCAATATATTAATCTTTCATTTTCTATTTTTGAACTATTATAGTTATAACGACCAGCTCTTTATTTAAATCTTACAATATGCATCTTTGAATTATATAAAAGGTCACAGGACATACATATATATATATATGTACATAATAACTTTCGTCTCATGGTCTTTTAACAAATGGAGTTTAATAAAGATGGATATATGCAGTGATCCTACTTTTATTTCAAATTCTGACTGCCAAGGGATCTTTTACATGCACGCCAATGTGGACATAGGACCTCGGTTTTTCATCCCATCCGAACGACTATATATTGTCCTTTGTCAGGCCCTCTGTTCTGCACTACTGACAAGGGGGAACCACACCAGAAAATCCTAATGAACTTTCTCAGCCAACACTGGATCAAACATAGACCTCCAGGTTAGCTAGCCAATGTCTTACTCACTGAACCACCGCAGCTCCCCGATATTTTAATATCTCCCTATCTGTGCAGTTTTCTTTATGATTTATCCTTTTAATGACAAATTGAAAAAAAAAAAGAAAGATAAATACACGACCTCAACTTCTAATTAAGTCATGATTTTATTTTAATGAGTTCATATTTGTACATCTATAATTGAATGCAGATGTTGCGAAACAAAAAATTCAAAAATTTGTAATTAAAAATCAGCTTTTCAAATGCACTAATGATTATTTTTAAATGGGGACATTTTGTTTTTGTATCAGAACTCTGTACTGTATGCTCGAAATGCATGTATTCTGAGTTGGCAACTACGAGACCTGCTTGATCAAAAGAATTGCAAAAGTCTGTTTTCAAGTTACATGTAGCTGGGGAGATTAGAACTTTACACAGGCCGAGTTAGACACGGAACACAAGGGTTAGGGTAGGTACTTTTGGTTTTGTTATCTTAATTAAATGTTAAATAATCAATCTGAGTACATTTTATCATGGATTAAGCCATGAAAAATGAGATATTGTCATGTAAATGAGGTTGTTTTAAGTAAACATTGAAGCCTGGTTCTGTCTTTCTTGGTTGTTATGTCTGTAAAGTGTTGGGCAGTTTTCATTTCCTAGTGCATGTAAAAGATCCCTTGGCAATTGGAATTTGATATAAGAGCAAGCCATAGTGCTGCTGCAAGGGCAAAATTTCCTTCATAGGTCTAGCTCACTGTATGGCGTATGCTCGTCTTCATTAGCCCAGTATAGGAACAGAACAGTAGGACCTTAAACCTCATTTCATTTCTGAAATCTCTCTCTCTCTGGTGCCAAATAGTGGGGTTGGAGCAAGCCTGTATTTTATTTTAATTTATCTCTCTCTGCCACTCTCTGGTTTACTATATCTGTTATGTTTTGAGTGGTATCTTAAGTGTATATTAGCTAATTAATCTGGTTGATTGATAAGAGATAAGGTTGATATAGGACCTGTCCAGTAATTATTGTAAATACAGCTATTTATCATTATACACACCCCACTTCAGGTAGTCAGGCCACACCAACTTGATTTTCTGTTTTTCGGGAACACCTACATGTATGAAAAGCTTCTTATTACTTGGGGGGTGGTTATGGATATAATTACAATAACATTATTCGTTATTACATCTACATCTAAAGATAGTTATAAAGGCCCTTTATAGAGGGGTTGGATTTTTGTCTAGGACGTAAAACACTAGAAACGAACGAACGAATGGGTGGGATGGAGGAATGGTTAGTGTGTGCGCATTTTATCATAAGGTCTGTCATTGAGTCAACTGACGTGGTTTCGATTCCCCTGTTGAATGTGACAAGGAGTAGGGTCACCTGTCCAACCTCGTGGCTTTTTTCTGCGGGTCCTCCGGTTTCCTCCCACTGCTAAAGACCCCTATGCGCAAGCGAATTATTGAAGTAAAAAATTGAACCATATGTTAGTCCCGAAATGACCTGATTTGTGTCGAGTGGACGTTAAACCCCATTTCTTTCTCTCTCTCTCTGTCTCTCTCTCTTCGGGGAAAGACAAATTTACAAAACCAAAAGTACCTGGTGGCATTGTGGTGGCCTAGTTCCAAGTTTTGAAATTTTAAACTAAACATCTTTCATGTGATTCAAATGGCTATTTATTTATCAAGGTCCTGAAGACCTGAAAATTAAATTTGTTAGGCCTCACCCTCTTCAGGTAATCACCCCCTCATTGATCATAAATTAAACAAGCCAGGCAAATCCCTTATTTTCACATCAAATATTTGAGTTTGAGAAATTTGTTTGTGATCTGCTGTAAGAAATCATCTCTCAATCCTTTAGTTGATTTGATAGCAAATTATCTTGGATTTTTGATATTGAGGGGAAGACTTAAAATCACTGATTGTCATTGGATTAATTGTTAATCCCTTGAAAACTACATGTACATTGTTAGTGCTGTCAAGATATATCGTTGAATCGATGTATCACGATGCACCTTTTCACGATGCGTGTAGTGAACTGCCAGACACTGAATCGATGTATCGCTATTCTTTTTTTAGGTTTGTTTTTTTTGTTGCTTCAGTAAATAACCTATCACTCTTAATTATCCATGACACACATTATCTATAGGTACACAAACACTCTTGGTCCTTATTTTGATCCACCTCTATAAACAAGTTTATTTCTTTGACATTGGCAGGAATAAAATTATCAGTTATTCATTTATTCTGTTGTAGCAATATTGTAGCAACTGAATCGCAATACGTATCAAATCGTGACTGCAGTGACAATACATTGTACCCAACACTAGATATCGTTGTTAAAGTTGATTCACCAAATTCATAACAATCTGAAAAAAATTCACTTTCATTCAGTATCTACAAAGATACGTGTATGTATGTATGATGAATTGAAACTTTCATAAACAAGCCAGCATCACCTATAAGTGTTGGGGAAAATCGTTTGATGGGCCTCCGTTTAATCTGATTGAATCTGAGCCAATGAATGTACTGTATCAGATCTATATTTTGTAATAAACTGACATTGTGAAGTCCAGCCTTGACTTTAAAATATACTCATATTCCTTTGCGACTGGGAGGTTGGATGGCGGTATGGTTATAGCGTGTGTGCTGCATCATAAGGTCTGTCATTGAGTCAACTGGCGTGGTTTAGATTCCCTAGTTGTATGTGACAAGGAGTAGGGTCGGGTCACCTGTCCAACCTCGTGGGTTTTCTCCGGGTCCTCCCGTTTCCTCCCACTGCTACAGACCCCTACGCGCAAGCCAATTTTTAAAATAAAATTGTACCATATGTTGGTCCCAAAATGACCTAGTTTGTGTCGAGTGGATGTTAAACCCTACTTTTCTCTCTCTCTCTCTCTCTCTCTCTCTCTCTCTCCCTTTGCGACTTTCACAATTATTATGTAGTTTGCAATGGATCCAAAAAGCCTTCAAATGACAACCAGGAATTCTAAATAATCTCACCCTCTTCACCATTAAAAACATGGATTCTATTCTGAAAGAAAATTTAGGAGAAACTTTATTTCTTCCAGCTAACCAGTCAGTCATTTTTTAAAAAAAACATTTTGTATTGGCTGATGTTTGACAAACAGACCAGTTAGTTAGCAAATATAAACATAACTCACAGTTGTGCTGTTTTCTGAATAAATTTTTCGGCAGGTTCAGCTGGAAAAAATGTTGACATATCGGTCGTTCACCGTGGAAAGCAACTTTGATTAGCCTCTTACCAGATGATTAGTTATTATCGGTATTTGACAAAATTAGAAACAGAAAGTTACGTATTAGAAATAAAAAAAAAAAATTACATGTATGGTAATTGAAACAAATAATTACATTCTTATAGAAATACAAAATTACATTTTAATTGAAATACACAATTGCATTCAATTAGAAATAAACAATTACATGTGTATTCAATTAGAAATAAACAATTACATGTGTATTCGATTAGAAATAAACAATTACATGTGTATTCAATTAGAAATAAACAATTACATGTGTATTCAATTAGAAATAAACAATTACATGTGTATTTGATTAGAAATAAACAATTACATGTGTATTCAATTTGAAATAGACAATTACATGTGTATTCGGCCTACATTTGTGTACATGTATATTCTTTGCCAGGCAAGACAGTTTTAAACATTTATTCAAGCCAAACAAAAGCGCATGGATTAAATACTCGTACAAATATATGTAAATCTTAGAAGGCATACGATATACATGTAAATTGATATAATATCCATTGATAAAAAACACCTTTATAGTTTATTATAAAGCCATAATAAAGGTTTAGAAGTTCAATGTTAAAGAATTTATACAGAAAAAGTTCAATCTGATTATGGTAAAGATTTAGAGATCTGTGTTGAAATGAATGAATGGTTTGTGTTGAAATAAACCCAAGGTTCAAACATTGAATATCAACACACGATATAACATAGATATAATTCAATGAAATTTCTTTTTCCTTACACAGGTGACGACAAATTCACTTATTAACACCTTAAAAATTTCTACTGTTTTTCTTCTAATAACTAGGTGTAATATACATGAATATTTTATCATGTTTTTTTTCAAATAAAATTTAACGTTGGTGTCATATGTCGTTTATGATATATTTTTTCAGTTCGTACATAAAAAGCTTATTATTTAAATGACAAAGATAGTGGATACATATACTCAGTAGAAAATTGATCAATTCTTCTTCCTTATACAGGTGACGATAAATTCACTTGTTAACACCTTAAAAATTTCTGGGTTTTTTTCTAATAACTAGGTGTAAAAAACATGAATATTATATCATGTTTTTTTCAAATAAAATTTAACGTTGGTGTCATATGTCGCTTATGATATTTTTTTTCAGTTCGTACATAAAAAGCTTATTCAAATAACAAAGATGGTGGATACATATACTGAGTAGAACTTTGACCAGACGCTCATTTTGGTTATTAATACAGCCCCTTTTGTGTGATATTGTAAAGGTTTTAAGTTTTATGTCCACGTTTAAACTGATATATGATGAGAAAGAAGAATGTGGTAATTGTTATTGAAGAATGTTGTAAAAGGTGTCTGTAGTAAAAAAAAAAACTTGGCTTCATATCTGATGAATTTGTTAGATTACGCATTGTGACCCACGCTACAAAACTTTTTATTACTGTATTTATTTACATACCACTTGAACAAAAAACCTTTAAAGTGAGCAGTTGATAAATTTATTGTCATAAAACGGGGGAGGGGTGAGAGCAATTTAGAGAAGTGGGGGTTTAACATCCACTTAATGCAAACAAGATCATTTCAGGACTAATGTATGGTATACTTTTATTTCAGTAATTCACTTAAACGTAGGGGTGTATAGCAGTGGGGGGAAACTGGAGGACCTAGAGAAAACCCACGAGGTTGGACAGGAGATCCTACTCCTTGTCATGTTCAAGCAGGGAATCGAAACCATACCACTTGACTCAATTACAAGACCTTATGATCTAAAATGACAGACCTCTGTGATTGGACTCAACCACCCACCCTCTGTCATAAACAAAACTTTTTGAATATATTTATCAAATTTGTTTTATAATTTGAAAACAAGGAATAGGTTCCTTAGTATGGAATCAATAATCTTGTTCTTGGGGGATGGGCTTGATCTTCAAAAAAGGCAGAGTTTCTGTCCATTCACGGGCAGTCGACATAAAGCTTAGGAAAAGAACCCTGCAATTTGGCAACTTAAAGACAACAGTAAATTTATGTAAGTGATACTTTCTTTGAAGCCAAACAGTCAATTTACATAAGAAATACTCTCTTTAAAGCCAAACAGTGAATTTAAGTAACAGACACCCTCTTGAATAACAAAAGTGAATTCAAGTAAGAAAGACTCTCTTTCAAGACAATAGTGAATTTAATTTACACAGCCCCTCAGGTTGGTTTTACGACTTTACCCCTAGGTGTGGAAAGCTGTAAAATTTATCTATTTGAGAATATTGAAAAGGAAAAAATTTTGTTAACACTTTTTCTTGATTTATAGATTATAGATGAAGAATGATAAAAATGAATTAATTAAAAAATATGACAAACATACTGGTGATAAAACATGGAATGACTGAATAAAGAGTAGTTTAATGGCCTCCCTTTTTGCACAATTAAGCTTGGAGTGTTTGTTCATGTATAGGTGGGGTGGTGAGGGCGGGGTACATGTGTATCCTTCATTATTAGCCCAGTCGGAACAGAAAAGAAAGTTATCCATTTCATTTCATGAATTATTTGAAAGCTGATGGTTCTTCGCTGTACAGCTGAAATAGATTGTGTTTCTGAATGTGGAAAATACAACAAAAGTCTTTATAAATGAGTAAACTTTAAATGAGTAGTGGTATCAGATGTTCTAGACAGATTAAACATTGAAGCCCAAGAATTCATAAAATGAGGAGTGGTATCAAGTGTTCTTGAAAGAGTAAGCACAGATCTGTGTTGTTTCAACATAAACAGAAGAGGTTTTTTTATTTGTAAATGTGAATTCCTCAAAGAATGATTTATATATATATATATATATATATATATGTAAATGGAGGGACATTCGTTTGGATGGGACAAAAAAGATGAAGATAACTTGTTTACGTCCTGGGGGGTGGTCTAGTGGTTTAACGTGTGCGGGTGAAATCAGAAGGTTTGCCATTAAGACTGCTTTTATGTGAAAAGATGTAGGGTCATCTGTCCAATCTCATGGGTTTTCTCCGGGTCCTTCGATTTCCTCCCACTGCTAAAAACTCTTACATGCAAGCAAATTATTGGAATCAAATTGAACCATATGTTAGTCCTGTTAAGAACTAGTTTGTGTGGAGTGGATGTTAAACCCCATTTCTCTCTCTTTCTCTCTATCTCTCTCTCTTTGGTTTGAAAAGGCTATGAGACATTCAGTGACTTGATGGTCAAAGGGTTAATTCATCACATTAAACAGTGTCTAGTCATTTGGATGGAACAAAAGCCGAGGTCAAAGTGTTAATACACCACATCAAACAACATGACGATGGGTCAAAGGATTATTATTGCATCACATCAAAAAGCATCTACATGTAGTTATCACATCAAACAGTTAGCACATGTATGTCTATGTGAAATATGAGACAAAGGCTTTACTTCCGACCAAAAAAGTATTGACTTATATGTATATACATGTACATACATGTACATGCACCTTGAAAAATACTCCACACCAAACATTCAAAGATGTATTGTGTACAATTTAAATACAGAACTGGAAGTTCTTGCTATAATACATGTAGTTCAAAAATAGATAATGAGAAATGAATATATTGAAAATTTCAATCAAATTACTTTGTTCTGTGTGAAGTTATGAATGTTTGAAGTTTCGATATGTTTGAAGTTTTAAGCGTACATATACTGTACTTGTAACAGTCTGCTCTTTATTAGTATATTGCATAAGTTTTGTGTTGTAACATTAGAAACAAGTCGGCCAATTTGACAGAAAGCCCAATGATTGATTAACGACATCCACAGACGATGCATTCTTGTATTATGTCAAAAAAATTGATACTTTAGACAGATGCGTCTACTTATTCTTAACTCAGAATTTATTTTACAGGGATGTTATTTCACTTATGTGTAAATAGTCCGGTATTATATTCTAAGTTTCTATCTTTATTTATTCATGGCGTTATTTAACTTACCCTTAGGCAAAACCAACTTCATTTTATATAGTTCTTTGGAATCTTGATAAAGAATTAGCCACTTGTGAATAATGTTTTGTTTAAATTTCAAAACTTAGAGATACATTGTGTAAGATTTAGATAAAGAGCCAGCCATTCTTGCTGTAATAGTTTGAAAATAGATAATGCAGGATGAGTATATTGAAAATTTCTTTCAAATTCTTCTATTGCGAGTGAAGATGTTAGCCTTTGAAGGTTTGACAAGATGTGTGCACTGATGTTACCACCTAACTGGTTGTTTGAAGCTAAGCCTTGTTTCTCCATTTTTAAATTAAATCAAAATATGGCTGAACCATTCTAATCTACATGTACTTAATATGGGAGATACATGTATCTGATGGCATTGAGAGTTGATTATGGTCTTGTCATGTTAATAAATGACTATTTGATAGTTTATTTATATAACATTTTAGGTCTAAAGAAAGGCCCGCAATAGGCAAATTTAGCTCTTGCATAATGTATAATATGTTTAAACTTTAAACATTAATTGAGTACCTACCAGTATTATTTTTATTTATATTATTTTTTTCAAAGAGAATTTAACTTACTCTTTATGAGCAAACATTCAGATTGGTGAGGCCTAAATATATAATATGTTTAAACTTTAAACATTTGAGTACCTACCAGTACATGTTTTATTTTTATTTATATTATTTTTTTCAAAGAGAATTTAACTTACTCTTTATGAGCAAACATTCAGATTGATGAGGCCTAAATATATACATGTAATGCTTAGTTTCCTATTATATTTATTTATTTATTTTCAGAATTCCTGTTTTCTGTTAATTTCATTATTTTGATGGTGTTTTTTTTTTATTGTAATTTCAGATGTTTTATGTGAGATATTGTAGTGTGTTATTTGAATGCCATGATTGATTTTATTACGAATCAGCAGGTGAGTCCATTTAATATATTTATCAAAGCCACAATATTTTGTCTGCAATATCAACCACTGTGGAAGTAGACTTTAAACCACCAACTACTTCTGCTAGCACTATATTAGTCTTATGGACCATTTCAAAAATCGAAACCGAAATGAAATGAAATGAAATGGGGTTTAACGTCCTACTGTTCTGCAAATCAAAACGAATAGCCCGCGGAACTGGGTGCGTGGGTTGAATCAAGACCAGAAAGATGTCAACTTTATCTTACTCTGTCGGTGCAGATGGGTGGGGCCGTCAAGATTTATCAACAGGATACTCCTTTGCATGCTAGTGTTGAAATTTTGCGACTCTTCCTTAACAAGGGGTCATGGCGGCTAAGTGGGTAAGAAGCTAGACAGCTGTCTAGTCCTTCGGATGGGACAGAAAACCGAGGTCCCATGTACACATTGGCATGCACGTAAAAGATCCCTTGACAGTTGGAATTCGATATAAGAGTAGGCTGTGCAAAATTTCCTTCATAGCACACTGTATGGCGTATGCCCATCTTCATTAGCCCTGTATAGGAGCAGAACAGTAGGACATTAAACCTCATTTCATTTCATTTTATTTCACTGTCCTTTAACAATTAACATATCGACTCAAAAATCATTAAATTGATGAATAAATCACCTTTCTATTCGAACTTAAAAATCTGTGTGGTACTACAGTTGAACGTTGATTTTTAAATTATCTGTTCTTTAATTAACTTTTGATTCAGCAGCTAGACAGATCTACCTGCGTGTCCAGCCTCTGCAACTTTAGAAAGGGGGTGTTTCTGTTGCCCCTCCATGATTCTCGTAATATTTGAAATACATGTACATGTATGATTATTGTTTATTTCACCCAGTTGTATTGCAATGCACGTATTGCAATGAATGTGTTGCAGGGCTCTAGGACAATGCGTTCCAGGATAATTTATCCCTGGAAGAATTATCCACAGACAAATTAGCGGGGAAAAATTGGTGGGGTATAAATAGTCCTAGGGATGAATTGTCTGGGGACAAGTTGTCCAAGGACGAATTGTCTTGCACCTGTATTGCAGTATGATTATGGGCTGCAATACACAGCTTTTGATTCATTTCTGTGTCAATCAGGCTTTAGATATGCTTTTGTTTGATTCACATGGGGTCATAAAGTCATTAAAGGAGGACCTCAAGTCATTAAAACTTATCACAGGTATGAAAGCACCTTGCTAGGATTACAAATATACTCATTGACCTTCTGATCTTGAAGATGGCTCTTCCTTGATAAACCACGTACCCACTTGATCACCTGGATAATAAACAATGGACTCACCTTAATTACCTGGATAATAAAGCACGGACTAGAGAATTAATTATACCACACATCATTTAGCTATAAGATTGTGTAACTTCCTTACTATCAACAGTTGACATGATTACTGATCAATCTTATAACCTACTTGAGACCTACTTTTAGTAGTAACTGTCCTATGCCAATTCCAACCGTAACCCTACTTATTTTCCAAACTTCATGTAAGTAAATTAAATGACCTGACATGTTATAATTAAAACACTGATCCTGTTTTTATACGCCCACATTTTCATGTGGACGTATATTGTCGTCACCTCTGTCCGTCCACAAATTGTTTGTGAACACTCTACAGGTCACAATTCTTATCCGATTTTGACGAAACTTGAAATATAGGTTTTCCTTTCGTTATCGGATCGAAACTTCATGGATTACGGCCCCTGATTGTACGAAAAATCACGTTTTTAGCTTGTGGACACTCTGGAGGTCACAATTTCTATGTGATTTTGATGAAACTTGAAATGGATGTTTATAACCCAAAGATCTTGGTTCCTTTCGATATTTGCGAATATCGGATAGTAACTTCCTGAATTATGGACCCTTATTGTACGAAAAATCGCATTTTTAACTTGTGGCCCCTCTATACAGTAGATCACAATTATTATCTGATTTATAAATATCACCGTAACACCGTAATGATGCTCGAGTTCAAATTTCATGAAATTCAGACCAAAACTGCCGGACAAAATGGCCACCCCTCGTATGCAAATAGTGTAAATATATGGTTTATCAAGGTTGTGGACCCTCTAGAGGATACAATTTTGATCCAATTTTTATGAAACTTGAAGATCTTGGTTCCTGTTGATATTCACACATATCGGATTGTAACTTCCTGAATTATGGCCCTGGATTGTACAAAAAATCACTTTTTTTTAGCTTGTTCTCTATCCATCGCTTGCAAAATGTGGGCATATCCTGCCTGGCAGCCGCTGGTTTCAAATTAAAAATAGATATCAATGTGTAATATTACTGCAATAGGAATCCCTTGCAAACTATAATACGGGGAATGATGAATCTCTAATCGAACCATGTGTTCTCAGTAGAATTTACACATAAATATAAATCCCACCATTCTACGATCGGCTTTGAGCGTTGCAACACAAAAATTTCTGAACCTTCATATGAACATATTATATTTTAACCCTCCACAAAAAATCTTCAAAGCATATCAACTTTTTAATTTATTCATTCTCTCTTTAATCTTTCTCTCCTTGAAATCTTTTATAAGACATGCTTGTACATATGGTATATGATTACATTACATGTTTGATTTGAGTCCATCGTACACACTACATAACCACCATAACTATTGTTGGTTTTATGAGAAATATTTTTTTCTTGAGTCATGCTTTGACGAATTTAATGGCTGATTATACATGTAGAATATCTTTTATGATTATATCTGAATTTGATATGCCTAGTTGAGTGTACATGTAGTTTACTTTATAATTGTTGAATGTATTTTTCTGTGTGAATTTTGGTTTTAAAGACATCCAGTCAGACGTGCGTTGTCTATTGTATATTTAAATGTCGACAGGGACTCGTTAATTGCAGTGCAAACACGGTTAATGACTTTTAAAAAAATTTATTTAAATCGTATCTGAAAATAAAACTTGCCTTAAAGAACTATAAGTGATTGTCAAATCAACTTCTGAACGGTGATCTCTTTCAACTGGTGTACACATTGGCCAAACATGTAGGTGTAAAAGAATCTTTGAGAAGGCAGAAATGCTGCTGTTGGGGCAAAATTCTTCGCCCTTGACCTAGAGAACTAAAATTGAAATCAGCTTCTGACTGAGGTTGTAAAAATATAAACATTGGTGTATTACTATTAATAAAAAAAAAACTGTTGACAGGTGGAATTCGCTGAAGTTATCCATATATTATAGTATCATCGATCAAATTCCTGATAAATTTTACAATTGTACATGTACATGTATTATTTATTATAGCTCTGAAATCAAAGGTGGTGGTGCAACACCTCCAGGCCCGTGTAGCTCCTAGCTTCATCAAACCTTATATTTGAAATTTCAGCCTCTGATCAGAGCTGTCATTGAGTCAACTGGGGTGGTTTCGATTCCTTGGTTGTATATTACAAGGAGTAAGGTTGCCTGTCCAACCTCGTGGGTTTTCTCTTGGTCCTCCGGTGTCCTCCCACTGCTAAAGACCCCTATGCACAAGCGAATTATTGAAATAAAATTGAAGCATATGTTAGTCCCGAAATGACCCAAACAGACGAACAAACCAATGGCAGTCATATACATTATAGATATTACAATATCCTGGTAATGAATAAATATCCTAATAAAATCTAAATCTGTACGTACAAACTGTAATATGTTCTGATAAAGAAATATTTATATACATGTAAGTAGGCCTATAGGTAATTGTATATAATAATGTTTATATAAATATAATGAATTTTATATTCATACATGTACCTAATGTTTATTTTTTGGTAGAATGTACGAATTGATTGCTCACTATAATTATTTACTTACAACTGGTTTGTATTTTTATGTACTTGAAATAAGGCATAGAAATATTTGTATCCATATATGTAATGCTAGGTTCGATAGGATTGTCCCACGATCTGGGATGTTTCGATGTGATCAACACGATTGCTACGAATGACCTCAATATATGATAAGATAGTGGAATAGTGGAATCCTAGAATAATAATGTTTATATGATAATAATAGTTTTTTTAATGTTGATTTTTGATTGAACAGATTAATTGCTCGCTATTATCATTCATAAATGTATGGTATTTTTACGTAGATGAAATAAGGTGTAGAAATGATGATGTCATATGATATAAAACAAGTGTTTTTTAGTAATAAGATTTACAAGTGTTTTGTATTTTTACGTAGATGAAAATAGGTGTAGAATTGATGATGTCATATGATATAGAAAAAGTGTTTTTTTGTTAATAAGATTTACAGGTGTTATGTAATTTTACGAACATTAAATAAAGTGTAGAAATATTTATGTTATTTGATATTAAAAACGTATCTTAATAAATTTTATATACCCACGTAATAAGATTTACAAATATTTATAGTCAGTGATAATAACGTGTATCGTACGTGATTCACCGATTCGTAGCAATAAAACTAATTTAAATGTCGGCGTGTAAATTGAGAGAATTAAATATGAACAAATAAGAGAATAGTTGGGATTTAACGGATTTCCCAGCAAGATAGAGTATTCACGATTATTCATGTGTAGTGAATCAGAAATATCAGTCTATAGGTCGTGCTGGGCAATTTGCCCAGATTTGTATCCCGTCATCTATTGTGGACATACTTTGTATTCTGTTTTATTGATAATCTTCAGTAATTGTCCCCACGACAAGTAGATTTGTGAAGAGAATAAGATATGTGTGTATTGTTATGATAAATGGACATGACTTATTCAAATCTATTTTGTTTGGTTTCTGTGGTCAAGTGTGGTTTTTGTGATACTTGACCATCTACCATACATGTAATTGTATAAAATTAAAGGAAATAGGGTTTAACATCCTACTGTTTTGCTCCTATAGGCCTACTGGGCTAATGAAGACGGTACATGTATATTATTAAACTACCTGAAAGCAGCTTAAAGGTCAATAACTGGCCTGGAAATTTTGTTTTTAGTT